TGAGTAAGGCTTCAAAGTAAGTAAACTTATCACAGTTCATCTTGTAAATAGCACTTTTAAAGGTCAAGTGTTGAAGGAGTTGGTGGAGGAGGTGTGGAAGACAGTGGATAGCTTAACATGACCCAGAGTGTGACATGCCAAGGGAGCTGAACCTGCCCAAACCCATTTCCTGAGCATCATCATCCTTGCTTCCTTCCTTTTATACCAATCACTGTCATTTCGTTTTGTTTAGATCTTTCATTCTCACACCCCTTGATCTTTGCCTCATCTTTTGGCTCTTATTTTGAAGTTTACAAACTGTCCTTTGATATCACAAGAGATAAGTCCCAAATCCAGGAAACATGGCCAGAATGTGAAACTTATAGAAGAAAAATAGTTCTTCTAAAAGGCTTAGTTGAGAGACACACTCCACACCTCACAGAGCTCTCCTGATTTATCAGAGCAGTAGCAAAGGCCAAAGTTGGCTCCACTAGGATTTGAGAACCATCCTTTGATCCCTGAGCTGTCCTTTTCTCACTCATGGCAGATGGCAAGATCCAAATTCTTAGCATACAGGATTAATTTCCAGCTTGTTCAGTGCTCTTTCCAAAACTAAAGGCAACAAGATGAACAGGGATATAAACCTGGATTGTTTAATCTACGTATTCCAGGCATTAAACTTGTGGAGACAGTTTATATCATACAGGTTGTTAAAGTCAGATTCATTAGCTTAGGTTACAATGACCTATACAACATGCTTACAACCCATTTATCCTATTAAAGGGATTTAGAACTTGCCTCCTTTCATGAGATGTCAGTGATACTTGATTTATGGTTTGGTCATGCTTTAAAAATAAAAGTAATTACCTTCTCACTGTGGTAAAAGCCCACTGCCTCAAGGATGCCAGAATACATCTGTAATGGAACAGCAACAGCTCTGATGTTCAGCTTGACTGACAAAAGCATTGGCTGTGGAAATACTGTCTGCAATGGTGTCTACATACCAGGGAGCTCTGCACCAGATGACAAGTTTTATTTCAAAGGAATTTCTTTGAGAGTTCCTAGAAATATGTTGACTCCATGATGCATAATACACTTTGGTGTTGCAGCATTTTAGGAATCCAGTTGACTTCCAAAACACAGACATAAACAGGATAAACCTGACAATGTCATGTGCCAGGAAAGAGCCCAGGACTAGTCTCTTCAGGAAAAATGTCCAAACTCACATATTTGTCCTAAACATGCTGCAAATGTCACTGGTGCACAGATGGGTGCTGATGGCTAGATATGGACTCAGATTCAAGTAAATGAAATGTGACCCGCTTTGGTTCTACCTGTGCAATGCTGTGCCTAGGCTAGTTAATTTACAGAAAACCAGTGTGTTTTGACATTGCTGAGATCTGAAAGTTCCCTGAAATACTTTAGTTTAGAAATAACTAAAACAGAAATAGCTCTTCATACTCATTAAATTAGACAAAGTCACTATATCCTATCTCCTCATCCCTGTTTTCAGCCTCTACTCATGAAAAATGGGCTTTAAGATTACTCTATGTATTTGATGCTATATGGATGGCTTTGGCTCCAACAACAAAGTTGGGCATAAACATCACCAAGGCAGACAGCATATAACTGCCTGAGACAGGAGTGTCTGCCCAGCATCCTACAGAACTTGGAAGCAGTTTTAGGGTTAACTCTCATCTAGACATGAGTCTGTAACCCTCCATGAGCTGGAGCTCCTCACTCTCCTACTCCACCACTTTTATCCAAACCAAAACCCACTGTACACTAAACTTTCTCAGCCCTTTTCCTTACCTCCAGGCACATGGACAGTCCAATACATTATCATTTCTTGAAATGCAGAGATGATCCCTTGGCAGGTGGCCACCAAAAATTCCCCAGCACAACCAGCCAGTGACACAACCACAAAAACACACAATATTTTACTTCTCTTCCCCAGCTTGCAGTGCTAGAAGCATACATCAGGCACAGCTGTCATCAGGGGCCCCATAGAGAGGGCAAATGGAGCCAGAATAAAAAAATTAGTTGTAAAACCAAATTGCTTTATAACTCACCAAAGCTGCGTATCTCAAAATCAGTTATTCACATGAAGTAAGAACATATATCAGCCAGAGTAATGAAAACAGTGTAAGAGAGTGGGAGCCCCAGAACACCAGCCAGGGATTTGCTTGGTAAAAAGCATCCAACAACATTTACTTCTTGGTTATAGCCTGCATTCCAGAGTCTGGATCAGAGGGACGTGCATAAAACCTGCTCTTTCATAGTGATTTCTGCAGCTTATAACCTCTTTTAAACTATACATGTGTGGTTTTAATATATATACACTGGACTAGTGTGGGGCATTGTGATGTTTTAGTGTGCTATTTATTAGCCCATTTTAGGGCCACAGCCAATTTCTTCAATTTCTCAGATGCTTTTTCTTACACCACAGGCATTTTGTTAGAAATGTTGCCTTTGAAAATGGGCCCAAATCGTGGCAGTCAGGTTGGGGTTTTTTTTAATATATCAATTCCCACTGCTAGAACTAAACATCCTCTTTTCCCACCCCTCAAACACCTTTGTATGAGATCAGTCTTTAGGGTAGGCAAAGAAGCATCACACCCAGACATTTGCCCTCAAGAGCATGAGCCAGCAGAGCCAACATCCACATGGACTTGTTGGCTACAAACACCCACAATTTATTCTGCAGTTCTCACAGTCAGGATTATTTGCAATGTAAGCCATTAGCCAAAGAAATTTACCTCTCATAATACAGCCCATTGAATGACACATGATTCAATAATGTGTTACAACAGAATTAGCTTTAAAACACAGAGATCCCTGTAGGAACAAAGCAATAACAATCTTTGATACAACAATTATTTGAGACTTGCTCCAATATCTCTGTAGTTAGGTGAGGAGATGTAAAATGACTATTTAGAACAGAAATTTCCTGGGAAGTAAATAAATAAATAAAATTAAATCAGATCTCCCATGTAAATGCCTAGTTTAATATGTCTGCAATGTGCAAGATAATATTCCTATTAAGAAAGTGAAGGTGAGAAAAAAAAAATCACATTTGATAACCACCGTCAAATAACAAAGCAACAATTAAAGATTGTTATGAAGATTGCTAGGCAAAACAGCTAACTTGGCTGTTTGGGGAATTTTGGTTGTATAACGTATAATGCTCCTACGGGCAAAATTCCAGCCCATGGAATTTACACCTAAATTGGGTGTAAAGGAAAAAAACAGCTCCATCCACAATGGAGATGGAGATAGGCTGACTGGCAGCAAATCTCCTCACCTTGAAGGCAGCCAAAACATTCAGAGCTTGACACCCAGCACACCCCCAGGTCTGCACCCCATTGCACCAGCCCTTCCTTCCAGCTCACAAGTTGCCTTTGAGCCATTTGGGATCCTGTCCTGCCCAAAACAGGACACCAAATGCCATCTTGGCTCTTTCCTGAAGAATCTTCTCTCCATCTCCCTCCTCAGTGCTCTCCTACTGTGGGAACAAGGGCAGCCCAAGAAGGAAGGAAATGTAGTGCAGCTCCCCAATAAGCACAAAGGGTTAAATGAGACAGAAAGAGTCACAACCACCCAGTTACTAAATATTATTTGTTTATTGTGCATTTTCGCTGGCACATAAAAAATTAAGGAAATACATACAGGAAGAAATGGGCAGAGAGAGAAATAACCCCAGATTTTCTGAGCATAAGACTTTTTGATGCACTTTCTCAAAGGAAAGCAAAAGTCTGTATTCAGGGGACTGTTATAAACCCACCAGGTGACAAACATCAGCAGCAAAAACAGTAATTGTGACAAAATGTACAGGACAGGAAGATTCCCACACTGGGACACATTTAAATGATGGCCAAGCACTCTGAGCATTCACAGGAGCTTTGCATTGATGCAAAAGATGCAAGAAGGAGATCACAACAGTAGGATTATGACAGAAGAGTTAGAAGTTGCTCAGAAAGGTAAGGGGAAATGTACGTCTATGTTTAAAGCCCAAAATGTAATCACACTTAATTTTTCATGATTGGAATAGATATGCCTCTTGTCAAAGCAAGGCTCGGGACAGATGACCAAACCAGGGAACTCAGGGGGATGAGGACTGCTTTCAAAATATCACAGCCTTTCAAATCTGAGGATCTGATGGCCAGTGCAAAAAAGGCAGTAAGGCAGGAAAAATACAGGTGAGCTGCCCAACCACTTGGCATTGGCAAGGGGTTTATGGTGCAGGGCTCAGGGAGGGCACCTAGAATTTAGGGAAGGGGAGTGACTCTTAGAGAAGTGAGCACAAACTCCCCCAAAGCAGAGGGAGACTCAAGAAGGTATCAGGAGAAATGGGCAAAAACATGAGTTCTTCAAACCCATAACTAAGCAAGGAATTGTACAAAAAGCAGAAATGCTGATAATTAGAAACACACAGGCAGATACAGCCAATGTACAGAATGATCCAGTCATATCAAATTAGCCACTGATACACTTACTATGACTATTTCTATTACTGTAAGAAGGAAAATGCTTATTTCTTCATGAAGGTCTTGATCTGTCTTCATCCATTTTCTCCCCCAACTAATTTATGTTGCTCAGTGTAGCAAAAAGAACACATCAAACTTCACAACTATACACCACAAATCTTAGTGGGATAATCATTTCTCAGGTTCAACAGCAAAAGAACCAAAAAGACAAACCCCAACCATATGAAACTGAAGCTGCAGTGAGAAATATTTTCATTAGACACTTCTAAATCTCTCCAATGATAGAAGTATATGTAACTCCTCATAACATGTAAGGTGGTTGATGACTCTTAAGGAATTTTTGTTTGGTTTTAAAAAACAGGTTGCTCATCTGTCTCTGTGTTGGTGATGCCTTTTGAAGGAGACAGGAACTATATCATTTCATGGCATGCCTTACAGAGAAGGCAGAATACAAAGACATCAGAAAAATATTGAAATTTCTCAAAAAAAAAGCCCCGTCTGGGAATAGCTATTTCTGTTTATCTGATGGATACCTTACAGGTTCTTGCTTTCATCTTCTGATGTTGTTGGCACCCTTGGGACAGACACAGAACTCATCATCTTACTAATGAAGAAGTCATAGAACCAGAGAGGAGACCAGCAGAAGATACAGAGGAGCAGGTAAGCCCCTTTGCCAGGGGTGTATAAGCCATGTGGTCTCCTAGCCAACAAGGCATGCAGGACAGAGCTGAGCACGGGGGAGAGGTCAGGGGCACAGTGCACAGGCAAGTCCAGGAGGAAGCTCTTCAGCCCCAGGAGATAGTCCTCTCCATAGGCCCTCCTTGTGTCTGCTGGGAGATTCTCCATCAGCTCCTTTTCTTGCTTATCCCACAGGTCAGAGGTCCCTAGTATACCTGCAGTAGCAACATCACAGGATAGCAAGTGGATTTCATTAGAAACAAAATCATTTATCATTAATAGTCAATAAATTGTTCTCCACCACCACCTGATTCACAGTTGTCCTAAACTGGGTCAGCAAAGAACAAATAACCAGCTCTACCCAAAAGGCTCTCTCACAGCCAAGTCAGCACTTTTTATTTCTTTCTCCTTCCTCACTGTTCTGTCCTTATTCATTTTGTGAGTGTTTCCAATCAGTATTTATTACCAGATGCGAGCGAGCGACTGAAGACAGACAGGCAAACCAAGAGGAACAGGATTCATTTGGGTTGGCCAAGTGCTAAGCTCCCCTTTCACAAGTGGCATTGGTATTTCACTGACTGGTTTCATGAAGGATAAGGCTTGTATCACTATAGATTATATAAAAAAAAAAATAATCTATTTTTCCACCCCATCTGCATCATGTTAGGAACGAACGCAGTGACTTCTGCAATGTAATTATTTCCTAACTATCAAGAATTAAGCATTGCAAATAAAGAAAAATCTTTAAATAAATCTTTAAATCTCAAATCCCAGGACTCATTTTGCCCTGAGGGCAAAACCTTAGGCAGGTTCCTCTGACCATGCAGGATTGTCAGAGCCCCATGCCCTGCAGGGCCCCTTCCCTGGCAGGGAGTTAATCAGGGAAGAAGGGTTTTATGGGAAAGACCATTTGGCTTTTCATCATCATAAAAATTGTCTCCATAAAGCCACCAGGACCTGCTGAGTAGGGCAAAATGGAATTTGTTGTTGTCCTCAGGTAGCTGCCAGGCACATCCACAGAGCAGGGACCTGTGTGACACCCACCCTGCCCCAGGCAGGCACAGGATGCAGCAGAGGCATTGCAGCAGGAGATGGACAAGCTCTGCAGAAAGTGCTCAAAGCAGTGGCAGGAGGAGGGGGATTTGGAACAGAAAGCAGCAGGAGGAACAGGGGGAAGGAGTGGAGAGGAAAGATCAGAGGCTATGTAGATAATATTGACAGCAAGTGAGCAGGATGACAGGCTTTGCTGCAGACGCTGCAATACAAGCAGAGCAGCTCAATAGAGAGAGCTCTGATATTGAGGAAGGTGGGACTGACAGAGGGTCCTGGAGCTCTCATGCTGGACAAGAAAGCCAGAGAGTCTCAAATTGAACACACCATGATGCTTGGTTTGTCAGCCTCAATAAAGCTAGAGTAAAGGGAAGGGAAAACTGCCTGAACCCTGCCCTGTCTCACAGCAAAGAGAGCTCTGCCCAGGAGAAAGGTCACACTCGTGAGGCAGAGGCAGGCAGCATGCAGAGCTGCAGGGAACATCTCTCACAAAAAAAATGCAGACCCTAATTTCCATAACCACCATGAAGAATGGGGAAAAAACATCCAGCTGCTAAGAATCACTCAGAGCTCGAGGACACTG